TTCAGGGCAAGGTAGAGTAGCCGAAGACTAGATTGTTTCTTCACTAGTCACTGATGAAGCTTACACCTAGGTTGTCATTGTCACGGGAGGAACTTCAGGCGTAGGCTTCGCAACAGCAAAGGCTTTACTCCTCAAAAATACCAAAGTGTATATAACTGCTCGTTCACCTGTGAAAGCTAGCACGGCCTTAGCAAAGTTAAAAGAAGAAACTGGCAAAGAGGCTTTCTTGCTAGAACTTGATTTGGCCGACCTAAATGGTGTCAAGCGAGCGGCAGAAGAGTTCTTAGCTAAAGAAGAGAAACTGGACATACTATTTAATAATGCGCAAGTCTCCCTTATTCTCTAATGTCTTCAGAGGAGATTTACATATTACCCGTCTCAGCGGTGTCATGGTTCCGCCTGCCGATCAGCTTACGGCCCAAGGATACGATCTGCGTACGTGCATAGCCTCTTTATGCTGCCGTCCATAACAATTATTGACTTATTACTCTTAAATTTAGAATTCGGTATGGGCTTGCTGCAACATTACCAGACAATCTCTTATACTATTTACAGGCACGAACACAGTAGGGCACTATTATTTTACAGTGCGTTTCGACTCGAAATATTTCTCGTTGTTATCCAGTCTAAATTTATTTCAGATGTCGCTTTTACCTGCTCTTCGAAAAGCCACGACCATGACTGGCAAGAAAGCTCGCGTTGTCAACGTCTCTTCGAGCGGACATACCTATGCTCCTGCTGACGGTATTCCATGGAATGCTTTGAAAGGAGGACCCGAGAGGGATGCTAAAATTAAAGAATGGGGCACTTCTGGAAGCACAGGTACCACTGCGATTTGGAAACTCTATGGGATTAGCAAACTCGTATGTGATTACAAACTACTCGGTTCAACTACGTCTTATACATGTACTATTTTTTAGGGAAACATATGGTTTACAACCCTCCTTCAACGCGAACATGGTGATGAAGTTATTTCTTTTTCGCTCAATCCCGGAGCGATTAGAACAGAATTGCAAAGGTGAAAGATCTATCTTGATTTCTGAGCACAAAGTGTTAAATTATATGCTTAGGCATACGACACCCTTTCAACAAGCTGTATTCAAAAGGATCTTATATCCTCCCTCGTAAGTCTATTTAAAGGGGCGGAGAAAATCTTATTCTGAGCCTATTTTACCTGACAGTATGGGTGCCCTCACCTCGCTTTACGTCGGAACTATGCCCGAAGCCGAGAACCATCCTGGAGCAGTGAGTTATGTTTGCTGATTTCTCAAAGAGAAAGCCTTCTAAATTCGTGGTGTTTTATTTTATTTTGCAGTGGTTTATTCCTTGGGCCCGCTTTGCGACCCCGCATGGCACATTGGTTGGGGATGCAAAATTGCAAGCCGAGTTCAAAAACTATATCGAGAAGGAAATCCAAGCTTTTGAAAGTTCATAGCCATCCGCATATATCCTCCTTTATTTATATTTCTATGAGATACTTGTTAATTTCCATTATATTATTATGTATGATGGTCAGACTCTTCTAGTTGTGTACTGTTTTGAATATAATAAATCCACCTCAATCATCATGCTGGCCAATAGCGCTAATCAGTAACTGTTACTAGTCTTCCAGCAGGCTATAGAATATATACTCCAACGTAAGGATCTGGCCAAATCATCTTAGATGCAGAATTGGGTCAATACGGTAGGCAAAAGGATATATGTATCAAAAAGCTTGAGAAGGTCTCAAGTTTATTATTATTATTATTGGGAGGAATTCCCAACAAAGACGCAAAACTTAGTAAACGATGTCACGCGCGCCTATACTTAGCGTCGAATTTCACTGCTTGTTCTATAGGATTAGTATTTTACAAACAATTAATTGTCTCCGGTGCACATAGCCTGCTCACACAGACCAAATCTCGAGTACTTTTCAGTCTATCAGCGTCATAGTAATTTGATCCACGTTTTGCGGTCCTGCAGCCTTGCTCAAGGTCTCACATAGTCGCTCCCGACCCGTGCGTGGTCGTCAAGTTCCCTCATTCCCTTACGTCCTACCATCTTTGCCACAAATATGCTGGCGAGATATTCTTGCAACGCTTGCTCTAACTTCGGTACTTTCAGAGGTAATATTCCCTCCTCCAAGCTCCAACCCGGAGAGAGATATACCTGACCTTCAGGGCAAGGTACAATAGCTGAAGGCTAGATCTTTCCTTCGCTGTTGACAAATCTTACATCTAGCATCAGGAAAGTTGACACAGAATTCGGTTTAGCGCCCATGCTAGGAGTGATAGGCGGTGGTATGTAGGGCTATGTAGTCCATATACCGACTCCTAGTGACTCCGTACTTACCTATCCTAAATAGTGCTACCTAGCACTATAGGGAGTTTAGCGCGCGTGGCACGCTTTGCTGATGCTACTAGCTTGTCATTGTCACGGGAGGAGCCTCAGGCATAGGTTTCGAAACAGCAAAGGCTTTGCTCCTCAAACCTGCCAAAGTTTATATCGCTGCTCGTTCACCAGAGAAAGTTAAAATAGCATTGACGGAGTTGAAAGGAGCGACTGGCAAGGATGCGATATTTCTAGAACTGGATTTGGTAGACTTGAACAGTATCAAGCGAGTTGCAGAAGACTTCAGACTACATAAAGAGGAGCAATTGGACATACTATTTAACAATGCGCAAGTCACCTCAATTATTCTCTAATATCTTCAGAATGTATTTATCTCCCACGCGTGTCAGCGGTGTCATGGTTCCACCTCTCGATCAGCTTACGGCCCAAGGATACGATCTTCGTACGTCCAATGATCATCTCTCTGCTTTCCGTCCATCATGCTCATTGATTTGTTGGCTGTTATTTAGAATTCAGGCACGAACACACTTGGATACTATTATTTCATCGTGCGTTGCGACTCGATGTTGTCCTAAAACAAGTCTAAATTTATCCCAGATGTTACTTTTACCTATTCTTGAAGTCCCCGTCTTGATGGGCAAGAAAGCTCGCATTATTAACGTCTCTTAGAGTAGAAATACCTATGCTCCTACTGATGGCATTCCATGGAATGTTTTGAAAGGAGGGCTTGAGAGGAATTCTAAGATTAAAAAAATGGGGTACTCGGAAGTGTAGGTAAAAGTGCAAGTTGGAAACTCTATGGGATTAGTAAACTTGTATGTGATTACTAGCTACTACTTGCTCAACAACAGGTGTTACACACTTAATATTATTTCCAGGGAAACATATGGCTTACAAACCTCCTTCAACACGATTACGGCAAACGAATTCTTTCCTTTTAGGTCAATCCTGGAGGGACTAGAACCGAATTGCAAAGGCGAAGCCATTTTACTTCCTTTACTGAACAGCAAATGTTGAATTGCATGCTTAGATATACGACACCCATGCAGCAGGCTATGTTCAGAGGGGTCTTGTATCCAGCACCGTAAGATTATTTAAATGGGAGACAAATATAATTTTGAATCCATTTTATCTAGCAGTATGGGTGCACTCACCTCGCTTTACGTCGGAGCTATGCCCAAGCTGAGGAAGATGCGGGAGCGGTTTGTTATGTTCGCTAATTCATCAAAGAACAAACCTTCTAAAGTCCTTTTCTTGTGCCAATAGTTCTTCATTCCTTGGACCCGCGTGGCGGCTCCCGCTGATCCATTGGCTACGGATACAAAATCGCAAGCCGAATTCAAAAACGATCTCGAGAGGAAATACCAGCTTTCGAAAATGCTTTGAAAGGTACTTAGACGTTCGCAAGCCTCCTTCATCGACACTGTTGCCGATTCTCTCTTTCTCTTATTGTATGAGGGTCGAGATATTGTATTATATTTGGAATCTAAAGTATTATACTCATCTCGATGAGGCGATGAGGCCAATGATCAAAGAAGCATTCGGATAATCGCTCCGCTGACGCGGTGTTCTCCCGTTGATCGTCTAAGAAATTGTGTCGGTGGACCTCAGATAATAGTAGTAATGGAATAGATCCGATCCGATCCATTGTCATGATTCCACCATTTCGCTCCGCGTATTAGTAACTTGAAAATATTTGTATCCTGTTGTTTTCTATCATTGGCAAGTAGCTTCACGACATTATTCTGTCCGAGGGTCTTGAAATTAAGTGCCTGAACGGCAACTGAGCCGGTCATGTATCCAGGAAATCCGAACAGATTTGTAAGAAAGAGTAGGAAGGGTCCAAAGAAAGGAATACATATATAAACAGTTATGCGAGTAAGACATTAGTAAGTCGTCCTCTCGAGCTTGCCCTGCATAGTTTATAAGCACAAATGTGGCCTGACTCCTGAAGCACGGCGGAATTTTTTGCGTACTACACCGATACCTAGATCTAAAATCTCATACGCTACTCAAGGCATGCACCAAGTATCTTTAACGGAAGGCCATATTTTTCAAGCATGTTTTCTTTGCATGTGGTACAACCAGCATGCCACTTCAGAGTTATTCCTGGATTTTTGAGAAATTCTCTCACATTCTGTCGGTCGGATCTTTCCCTTTGAGCGCGCTGTTAAGACAATGATCACGAACATACCGGCTAAAGTATTGCCGCGGCACGATGAATCCGCCACTCGACCTTATGGCACAAGGATCATAGTGACATGCTCGTATGAACTTCTTAAAGATAAACCTAAATTCTAAAACCTTTTGACTCACTGTAAGTCCAATAGCCTGCGAAAGTCAATCGCTGAGTCTGGAGTCAAGAATATCTCTTCTGACAGTGCCTAGGATGCACACATCTCGAAGCGTACACTCAAAGCGACGGAAAACTAAGTAAACCGCGTGCAGTAGTCGTTTGGAAGTTCTGTCTAGCGTCAACAGTAAGTTTATAGACATGCAAAATCGTGAGCGGGTGCCTTTGTTCAGTGTTAAAATCCTATTGGTATTTATATGCGTCAGTCTCCTCATTTTTATCGTTAGAGAAATTCTCAGACTCGAAAAGACTTCGACGTTGCAGCGATACCATGGCAGTGAACTTTTCTTTATCTTCCTTGTGTAGGGCAGCAAAATGATAACAGTGATATTTGAACCCACGCCCCCAAAGATGTGAGATCCTTACTCTCACGCCTTATACCAACTCGGCCATATCGCCTTATATTTATCAGTAATAAGATGGATACACTCGAAGGTGATTAACAAACTAGATATAAAGAGTGAGGAGAGAGAAGGGTTGCATCGTGTTTCGGCGGCATCGTCCTCGAGGCAGATGTTTTGCGCCCTTCGATTAGATGCACGGACACACGGAGCTCGAGAGATGTCAGATCGGTGCTTCTATTTGTTCCACATGTGACTATACTACATGTCTATACGATGCATGTTCTTTCTTTATTCTGCTTGAATTTTTCAAATTTGTATAGCCCCGAGGACATTGGAAGCGAATTGCACCATTAGTATAGCCGTACCGGTAGCAACTGACTCAAGTTCTGACTGCCTTACTCTTACTTCACCATTTTTAATACCTCGTAAGTCCATATCCGACTGGCTTTTCGAATTTAACGATTTGGCTGCTATGCTTGTCGGCTTCTGAGACAGACGATCCGATTTATAACAATTCACGTTCTGAATCTCATTACATTTCTAATCTTGAGATGTCTCGACTCATGGCTTTTTTTCAATGTCGCATGTTCGTTGGTTCGACCTCAAGATCCGTATACTTAATGGTGTGAATGTTGGGAAGTGTGAAGTACAGATGTCTACGCACGGCTTCCGCAAAGTGGAATTCATGATACCTACCCACTTTGAACCTCGTGAACACCAAAATCTCTTCAGGGGAGATGTTTCAAAAAAATGATGTGTGCGCAATGAGTGAGGTTCCGGTAGATTCAATGCATAGGTATGCAAATCCCGCTGGTAGAAAGCATAACGTTTTAATTAAACAATCGCGATAAATGTTATACTCTTAGATCAACTGAAGATAAACCTCCTCATAGTAGAGGTGAACAACATGGCCTTTTTTGGAAACAACCTAACAGCCTTAGTAGTTCAATAAAGACCGGTAAAGGTTAATGCTCCTGTATACAGAGGTATATGCTCTAGAGACTCATAAAGTTTATGTTCCAAAGACCTCGTAATTCAATGTGCTCAATGAAAAGCATCAGTCACCCTTTGATCCTCGTCGACCTCCCGCGTAAGATTTTCTTGTATCCAGAATGACATCTGAGGCGACGACTAAATATCAGTAGCCGACTTCCTAGCTTACGGGATGCCGCGCATGGAATAGGGCGGAAGCCCACGGAAGCATGAATCTACTAGTGTAGGCGACGGACCGAGGGTAATTTAGAAGTGTGGAGTTCCCCTGAGTTCCCCGCACTAATTTGATCTACCCTATGCGTAGCGCCCTCGCGAGGAATTCCGAAGTGTTCCTTGATTGAATTGTCTCGGGGATTGGTGAGTGCCACTAGTATTTCAATTTTCTTGTCAGTATGAACCAAATAGACCATCTTTCGTAGATGTAGGTATCGCTCCTCGTGTAGATTAACGTCATTTTCTCAATACACGTCATAATTTCTCTTATTAAAGCATAGCTCCGAATAAGTCAACGTTAAGCTTTCTCATTAATCCCAGCATATAACACCGCCACTCGAACCCAATGTGACCAAAATCAAGGTTTTGTCAAAAAAAATTCTGTAAGTGGTATGTCGGATCGCCTGCAGATCTGGAGGCCAGGAATGTCCCAAATAAGGATATTATTTCACGCCGGAGGTCCGAAAAGGAAATCTTTGGCTACCCTACACTGGTCAGCTGCCATAACCATCTTCTTCGTATATTGGACCGACGTATCTTTCTTCCTGGGTTTCGTAATGACTCAATTGCGGCGCAAAAAAGAAGGTGTATTGGAGCCTCCTACTGGAGTCTGCAGAGTGAAATGGGGGGGGGTTGAACTTCAAGGAAGGAAAAGGAAAAGGGATGAAATGCGCCTGGAGATAAACATGTAAGGTAGCTAATAGTCACCAAAGCTATTAGGAAGGGTAGATAGAGAAGTGTGGGGAGTGGTAAAGACAGATGGAATGCATGTGAGGTACAATGATGCGACCGAGACCGAGACAGCAATACAGAACCGACCAAAACAATGAAGGGATAGGTATGATAACAAGAGAAATGAATGCATAAGGCGATCACGAAAGAGATAACGAGATGAGTCGGAAAACGTACTGTGTAGAAAGCACGTTGGACGCAGCAAAATGGGAATGTCCATGACCATGAGGCTTGCAGAATGGAATGGGGATTGCGAGATAGGAAAGAGAAAAGAGAAAAGAGAAAGAGGGAAAGAGAGAGAGAGAACGTGAAAGAAAAATGAATAGAAACCCTGAAAGAAAAGGCAAGAAAAAGAAATCATATAAGAAGAAAAATCATACTCCCAAAACGAGTTACTCCGTGGTGTTGGGTTCCAACTTCAATATCCACGTTGGAATATTCCTGTCCTCCGAATCAGGGGCAACAGGATCGTCCTTCCGCTCCAATCCCAGAAACATCGTCATGTCTAGCAGAAAGTCAATCATTCTCAGACCACCAGCGGCTTCCTTATCTTTGTGCATCTCCAAATTCCATATATCACATCGCCTCTTATACGCTTTTTTGACATGGCTTTTGAATCTTGGGGGCGCATCATCCCAGGCTTTTTCGGATACAAGCGTACGTAGGAACGTATGTAACCTGACGAGGACGTCTTTGATGCAAACATAGCCTTTGGGATTATTTGTAGAGCGCTGCAGAGGAGTAATGCTGACCTCCCAATCGTGTCCCTCGACTAGAATTTTCAGGCGAGTAACGGGTGGCTTGGTTGCATACTCCCATAATTTCGATTCCGGGATGGGCTGTAGAGGAATATAACGTGTAGGTTTGACATGTGTTGGTTTTACGACTGCGGTAGGTTGAGGAAGTGACGGGTATACGCGAGCGAAGTGGGAGGGAAGGACAAGATCGAAGATTATAATTCGTTTGTTCGGAGTATGAGAAAGTAGGTCGTTAATCTTGACGTTCGGTCGTGGAACTAGAGGCTTCGGTTTGTGAATCACTGCAGTACATGTACTAACAGGTATCGTAGGCCGCGGACTGTTGGGTGGCACTGCGAATAAACGTTAAGATGCCAGTAAACTGATGACGAGTAAGTTTTTTACATACATGATACGGCCGGTTGGCGGGTCCGTTTAGGGAGAGGGAGCGGCGTTGGTGCGGGGGGCAATGGTACTGGCCCTCTTTGCGGAGCCCAAGGAGTGCGAACTCGGTTGGCAGCGGGCGTCCTAGAGCTCCCTCCAGCAGGCGTCTGGGAACGACGGAGACCCTCCCCCAAGGCCTTCCGCGAAGCATCATGTCGTAAGGGAATTGGTCTATGAACGGGAGGCGGGGTAGCGATCACCGATGAAGCACCGGTAGAGGAGGAGGCCTCCGTGAGAGGAGGCGGGGAACCAATCGATTGTGAAACTGAATCGATATCGGAGGCGTCGTCCTCAGCGTCGGGCGCGCGGGCATTCTTGGAGAGGTGAAGCCACCGCAATATGCTCTTACCACGAGCAGGACCGTTCATGATAGTTTCATGAAGCAGGGAACGCCTGGGGTCGAGGAAGCGAACAGACGGCTTACTTATGGAATAGCACGGCCAATGACGATGAAGCGCCAACTACCGGGAAATTTGCGTATTCGCAATTGGCTTGAAGGCTTTCGAAGATAACGGGTGCGAGATGGTGAATACCCAAAGACCCAACGGACCAGCCAGGGCAGGGGGTTCAGGAAAGATTTTTTGCAAAGCCCAACAGTTTGTGGGCAGTTACACCTTGCGTCTGGCAAGCTAGGGAATACGGAGAATTCGCAGAGAGAGCGCCGCATCTGGACTTGGGAAAATTGGGTCAGGAGCTGGCAATGAGGATGCCTCGAGGCATTTCTCCTAAAACGGGTGACCCTGATATACTGGGTTATCTAACCGATGAGTGCCCATAGACACCCACAATAGCACCTGACAGCAGGGATGTTTGGGTGAAATGCAATGCAGTAGAGCCAAATCGACCAAGCAAAGCGAAATCTTTTATGTCGAGTTGTTATCGGAGCCTCGGGCATCGAATGAGCTTGAAGAAGTGCACTGTCGCAGACAACCTTGGAGGGGCAACTGCCTCACAGGCTGTGCGGCTATCGAAGCGAGGCGTTATCAGACAAGATAGCGAATTCCCAAGCGAAAGAAGCGTAAAGCGAAACGCGAAAAGACTGAGAGTGGACCGGAACAGGACCTAACAAGAGGGATCGTCGGGGTGGCCGCGCGAACAACACGCGAGAACAGCGGGCAAAACCCACCGCACTTCTCAATCTGATAGCGTCAATCAATTAGCATAATACGGGCGTCCGTTCATAGCCATTCAAGCAGGGCGTAGTTGATACTATCTTTATAACATGTGGTCTTGGGATCGAACAAGGAAGCACAATAGAACTCACCTTTCATTAAAACTTTCTTCATATATGTGACCAAATCGTGTTCATAGACGAGGACCGCGTTCGGAAAGCACGAGGTGGCATCGAGTTTATAGAATGTTGAGAGTAATTTCCTGCGCAGGATTTCCAGGAAAAAAATGGTGGGCCGGAACCCATAGTTGGCGTATCCTCTGCCACCGAGATGAAGCTCGCCATAAGAAGAATATTAATAGGAGAAATTTAGACAGGTTAGGGGAGCGGATCTAGTAATTAGGGGGGATGGCAGATTCTTAGAAGACACGAAGTTGCCAAACGGGTGTGTCACGCGTGACCTGTGACTCGCGCTGTTCGGGCGTGTTGAGTGCGTGGTTGATGTGCTTTTGTTTAGAGGTCATTCCGCTCATCCTCATTGTACCTTGAAACATTCCTCTTTCTTCTTCGACTTTTACATGGACTAGAACTTTTTACTATGCCACAATCTCTGAAAGTATCGTCCTCGCTTTCAGGGAGTGCCCCCCCGGCCATCTCCTCCGGCTTAGGAGAATCACTGGAAGCCCACTCTGAATCTCTTCGTGGCACCATGGCGGAATCTCATGTGATATCTACAGAGCGTACGTGCCCTATTTAGTCTGCTATCGCTGCATTCCTATACAGTTACGCTGCAGATACTACCTCCGACGAATCTTCCAGTTCTCG